CACCTCCCAGCCTCAGCCCTGCAAGGGATACCAGGGATCCGTGCTTCAGGCCTGTGCCTCCCAACCAAGGATCAGGGCATCAGCCACATGCACCCCATGGGGGTGCTAGGGCTCTGGATTTCTGATGCAGGATGCTATGCCCTCCTTGAAAAGGCTTATGGACCCCCAGCTGAGAACTGCTGGTCTAGATTAAATTACTATAATATGATGCACAGCTATTTGAAAGATTACAAAAAGAGTTTCAGAGGAGTAGCCAAGTTAGCCTGTAATTGGAAAAACCTTAAAAAACAATGAATAGCCTGGCAGCACCTTAAAGACTAACAAAACACATAGGTGGTATCACGAGGTTCGTAGGCACAACCCACTTCTCCAAATGAATGGAGTTATGAAAGGTCCAGTTCCAAAATTAATAGGGGGTGGGAGGGAGAAGGAAAAAAAAGTCAGAGTGTTCATGCTACATGAAACTGACAGAGAAGGTGCAAATTGTTCTTAAGTATCCATTGTTTGGGTTTTTTTAAGATGTGGAAGTTAGGGTGCTAGCCAGGTAATGACTTTATCATACCTTTGTGATGGGTCCCAAACTTGTAAATGAAGTTAAGTTCCAAAGCTTCCCTGTTTGTCTTGTGGAATTGGCCTGCTACAACACGGTAATTTTGAGATCCATTGATGTGTGCCTGGGCAGATTACAATGTTCTCCAACAGGTTTCTGTGTGTTGCCTTTTTGGATAGCTGATTTGTGTCCATTAATTCTTTCCCATATACACTGTCCAGTTTGGCCAATATACATGGCAGGGGGACATTTTTACCAAAAGAGTAGTTATTAATGGTTTGTTATCATACTTGGAGTCTAGTAGGATCCTGCAGAGGTCAGTCTGGGGTCCAGTATTATACAATCTGTTCATTAATAACATGTATAACAGAGTGGAGAATGTGTGTAAAAAATTTGCAGATGACACCAAAGTGGGAAGGTTCGCAAGCTTAAAAGCCTGTGGTAAGGGACCTCATCAAAGGCTTTCTGAAAATCTAAGTATGCTGTATCCATTGGATCACCTTTGTCCACATGCTTGTAGACCCTCTTCCTCAAAGAATTCTAGTAGGTTGGTGAGGCATGGCTTCTCTTAACAAAAATGTTGATTCTTGCCCAACAAAAAATGTTCATCTAGGTGTCAGATAGCTCTGTTCTTTTCCATAGCTTAAACCAGTTTGCCTAATACTGAAGTCAAGATAACTAGCTTGTAATTGCCAGGATCTCCTTCGTAGCGGTTTTTTAAAAATTGGTGTTACCTTAGCTCCAGTCATGTGGTACAGAAGAAGATTTAAATTATAGGTTACAAACCACAGGTAGTAATTCTGGAATTTCACATTTTGAGTTCACTCAGAACTGTTGGGTAAATATCTGGCCCTGGTGACTTAGTACTGTTTAGTTTATCAATTTGTTCAAAACCTCTTCTATTGACACCAATCTGGGACAGTTCCTTAGATTTGTCACCTAAAAACAAGGGTTTGGATTTAGCAATCTCCCTCACATCCTCAGCCATGAAGATTGCTGTAAAGAATTAATTTTGTTTCTCTTCAATAGCCTTATTGCCCTTGAATGCTTCTTTAGCACCGCGATTGTCTGATGGCACCGCGTGTTGTTTAGCAGGCTTCCTGCTTCTGAAGTACTGACTTTCAGTTAGTAGGGAAAAAATTATAATAAACTAGCAAAAACTCCTGTGTGGCCATTCTTAAATCAGTTTTTAAATGGCTGACATTGTTACAGAACGAAGTTAAATCAATTTAAAATTAACTCAAAATGCACTAGAATTGAAGTGATTTAAGGGTATCCACACGGGGGTATACAGCCACCAAATTGGTTTATAAGCTGGTTTTGGTTAAATCAGTGTAACTCCATGTTTAGACAAGGCCTACAATCAATTTTAAAGGATGCACTAGATCAAAATAGAGTACACAGGATGCCTACTACTGAGTACTATAGAATACTAGAACTGGAAGGGACCTCAGGAGGTTATCAGGTCCATCTTCTGCCCTCACCACAGGACCAAACACCATCTAGAACAGCAGTTCCCAACCTTTTCCAGATGGGGACCCATTTTGACAATGGAGGAAGACTTGGTGACCCAAGACAATTCAAAAACTGGGAGAGGAGGGAGGGCAGAGCCACCTGGGGAGACACTTAGCAACCCTTTTGAAATGTAAGGGTGACCCATAGGTTGGGAAACCCTGATCTAGATCCACCCTGATAGATGTTTATCTAACCTGCTCTTAAATATCTCCAATGATGGAGATTCCACAACCTTCCCTAGACAATTTATTCCAGTGTTTAACCACCCTGACAGGAAGTTTTTCCTAATGTCCAACCTAAATCTCCCTTGCCTTTTGTCCTATAAAATGTTTATATTCTAATGTCTAAAAGCAAAGTCCCAATCAAGCTTAGCATTTGTAGAATCAATAATTGAATTCAACCAAATTCAAATCCACCCTCCCTGTAAGAGACTCCCTCTGTGTCATCTCTGAAGCAGAGCTCTTAGGAATGAGATTGTTAGCAGGAGCTGATTGTTGTTTACGCTGCTGTACATTTTATTTCTGCCTTTCTATGGCGTTCTAATCAAGCTATTTTTGAGCAGGATTGTCTAGCCCATAATCTGCTAAATAAATAATGGATAAAGGAGTTTGCCATTCTTTTAAATCATTAAAGCAAAGGGAAAATAGCCTGCAGCAAAAGAGGGGAGCCTCGAGAGGCGCCAGTGACGTGGTCACGGAAGAAACCCCCTGAAATGGTGTTGGGAAACCTAGATCTTCTGACTAGGCGGCGGCACTGTGGGAAAATGCTCAGACCTGCAGCCGAACAGCTCATGCTCGTGGACAGATTAACAAAACCGTCACAATGGAAATGTGCTGAGTTCCGGAAAACGCCGGGGAGAAAGATGGGAACGGGAGAACCCTGGTGCTTGTCAGATGGGAACGGGAGAACCCTGGTGCTTGTCAGTTTAGTAGTGAAGGAAGAGTAGGGAGCCTGGGCTCGCCAGTTCGGGACCTGAGGCGGGTGCACGCACTCCCAATCCTACTGGGAGGTGAGTTCTGCGGGCTGCCCCCGCCGGAAGGACGGGCAGAGAACTGCAGTGTTCGCGCCGCTCCAGCCAGGGGCTCTCCAGCTCGCAGTAGACTGCGGGGAAGCACTTGCAGAGGCGGCCGCGCAAGCTCAGTGCAGTCTCACTGCGTCTCAGGCTCCCACTTGGCAACGAGCCCAGAAAACCCCCCAAGCAACCGTGGACCAAACGGGACTTCTAGCTGAAGTCTCGGCGGCGCTGTGCATGGAATCCCCAAGTTGAAGGGTCCGAACCTCTCTCCCTCCGCCGCCGTTCTTGGCGCAAGGGCCAGCAGCACCATAGCTGGCCCGAAGCACCAGGGGCAGCACTGAGCCGCTTATTTAGATGATCTCCTAAGATCCCAGCATTTCGCATCATCAGGAATTTCCCTTCCCTCGACGCTGCAGCCTCTGCAGTGTGTGCGCAGAGAGCGCCCCGCAGTCCTGAGCCCGGCATCATTTCTGCTGGCACTTGAGCGCTACAGCGGAGCGGGCTCAGCACTGGGACACAGGGCAATGCATTCAGCCTCCATTGCTGCCCAGGGCTCCGCAGACTGGACGGGCAGGGAAACCCCCTTGTGCTCGTGGGCAGTGCCTAGGACTTGCCGTCAGAGCCCCAAAGAAAGGCGCAGAGGGTGCCGCCTGGTGTCCTACTCGCGCGAGGGGCAGGGCCTTTACGGGGCAGGGCTCAGACCCCATTGATCTAGCAGGGTAGCGGACGCACCTGCAAGTCCTGCCCTCGGGAACACTTGAGGACCTCCAAGGAGCCTCTCTTCTTGCGGCACAGCCAAGTGCAGTAGGATGCCCCGGGAAACCCAGAGATTCCTCTTTCCTTGGCCAAGCTGCTGGCACGCGGGGCAGCCTGCCAGCGCAAGGAAAACCTCTTCTGCGCTGGGGCTGTTAAATACGCCGCGCAGCTGATTAGCAAGACACTCGCCGCACCTGTCATGTGCAAGAGACGCAGAAGAGTAGCAGGGGGCGCGATTCGGAGCGGGCCGAGAAAACAAGCATCAAATGCTAAACAGCAAAGGAAAGGGGGAGGGGGATTGTTGTTTAACAACAGAAACAAGGAACTGTGGCGAGCCTAAGGCGGAGTAACACAGCGGGCCCTCGGGTTCGCGTCTGACATCTGGCCCAGGCTCCACCTGCCCCGCACTCCCCCCTCTGAACGGGGCTCCCTTAGCAGTTAATCCTGAGGAGATCTGCCAGTGTAGGCGCTGGAACTGGGGCTGCTCCTGCACCCCGTGGCTGGTTTCCATCGGCCACTGAACCAATCTGCACAGTGTTTCTCCGCAACCCCCCTTTCCTCCTGCCAGGCTTCCAGCTCGCTCCAAAGCCATTCTCGGAGCAGACCCAGTGCCCATCTTGCCTGACAAGCTCATCAGCCCAGCAGCAGGCGGCTCTGCAGGGCTGGAAGAAATCTGGAGCTTCTCCCCCTTTCCCCCCTCTGCCTTGTTCCACGCCAGACTCTCAGCCCCCCGCAGCCGGGCTCGCCTCTCTCCACCCCCTTCCGTCGCCGGAATCGCCATATATGGAGCAGGAAGACTCCCGCCGGAACCGGGACTTATAAGGTTGTTTCCTTATATGGACTCTGCGGCCAGGGGCTTCCGGTGGCCTAGGCTGGGGCAGCAGCGGGGACCCGAAGAGGACAGCGGCGGAGGGGGAGGGGGTTCGTGCGCTGCCCCGAACAATCCCAGAGGCAGGGGAGGGGGACGTAGGGCCCAAGGGCGGTCGCGGGGCTCTTGTGCCGGTCTGGGCTGGGCCCCCGCCACCGGCTTCCCCCAGTGCCAGCTGCTGACGCCACGCTGGGTCTTCCAGTCCGGCTCCATATAAGGGTTTCCTGTCCGCCATATATGGCCATGTACGTCATGGCCGGGGCGGCCGCAGCCGGTGGGGACTCGATATATAGAGGCGGCTCTGGGTCGGGCGAGGAGCCGATTGCTTCCAGCGAGTAGAGCCAGGGGGAGCCCCAGGCCGGCCGGGCGGGCCGAGAGCTTCCAGCGGGCAGAGCTAGGGAAGCCCCAGGCGGGCCGAGCGTTTCCAGCGGGCAGAGCCAAGGGAGCCCCGGGCCTCTGGGAAGAAGACCCGCGTCTCTCCAGCCCAGAGCCCGGTGCTTCAGGCTGGCCGGCTGGCCCCTGGTGCACAGCATCCCCGTGTCCCCGGGCAAAGCCCACTGTCCCCATGGCCGCGGCCAAGACTGAGATGCAGCTCCTGCCCCCCCTGCAGATCTCTGACCCCTTCGGCTCCTTCCCACACTCTCCCCCCACCATGGACAGTAACTACCCCAAGCTGGAAGAGATGGGGGGCCCTCAGTTCCTCACCTCCAACGGGGCCCCTGAAAGCAGCGGATTCAACCCCCCCGGAGAGCAGCACTTCGAGCACCTCGCTGCAGGTAAGCGACAGTCTCTGCCCACAGGCCGGGAGCGGGTGGGGGTCTGTGGTGGGAAATGTCCCCTTCCTACTCCCTGGCTTTCGGGAGCTCCAGGGCAGCTCGGGCAGGGCAGGGCAGGCACCGTTTGCTCGGGATTCCGCCGGCGCTAGTGATGCGGCAGCCTCGCTGGCTGCGCTAGGGGGATTCTCTCCATGCGTCAGCTGCTCTTCGCTGGGCTTGCAGCTGCTGGAGCGCTGCCAGACAATATGGAGCGATTAATTTTTAATTAAAAGGGGGATGGGGGGGCAGCCCCGCTGGGGCCGGGGCAGGGCTAGGTGGGGAGGGCAGAGTGGAACGGGCTGCAGCGGTTCTTGGAGGTAATTGCTTTGCTTCTCTTTTCAGACACGTTTCCCGATATATCTCTGAATAATGAGAAAAGCCTGGCTGAAACGAGCTACCCCAATCAGACGAGCCGGCTGCCACCTATAACCTACACAGGCCGCTTTTCTCTGGAACCAGCCCCCAACAGCAGCAACACTCTCTGGCCAGAGCCTCTGTTCAGTCTCGTTAGTGGGCTGGTGGGCATGGCGGACCCACCCATCACTTCTACACCTTCTTCATCACCAACATCCTCAACCTCACAGAGCCCGCCCCTGAGCTGCTCTGTCCAGGCCAGTGAGAACAGCCCGATCTATTCAGCAGCACCAACTTTCTCCAATTCTACCTCCGAGATTTTCCCGGAACAGCAAACCCAGTCCTTCCCAAATGCACCCAATACCTCTCTCCAGTACCCTCCCCCAGCTTATCCGGGTGCTAAAACTAGCTTCCAGGTGCCAATGATCCCGGACTATTTATTCCCCCAGCAACAGGGGGAATCTATCAACCTGGTCCCAGCTGATCAGAAACCATTTCCAACACTAGAAACCAGACCTCAGCAGCCCTCTCTCACGCCTCTCTCCACTATCAAAGCTTTTGCTACCCAGACCAGCTCCCAAGATCCTAAGACACTAAACACGACGTATCAGTCCCAACTCATCAAGCCAAGCAGGGTGCGAAAATATCCCAACCGTCCTAGCAAGACCCCTCCTCATGAGAGACCCTACGCATGCCCAGTGGAGTCCTGTGACAGAAGGTTTTCCAGATCTGATGAGCTGACCCGACACATTCGGATTCACACAGGACAAAAACCTTTTCAGTGCCGTATTTGCATGAGGAATTTCAGCAGAAGCGATCATTTGACCACTCATATCCGAACACACACTGGGGAGAAGCCATTTGCTTGTGATATTTGTGGTAGAAAGTTTGCCAGGAGTGATGAAAGGAAGAGACACACTAAAATTCACCTGAGACAGAAGGACAAAAAAACAGAAAAGGCAACTCCAGCCTCTCCTGCTCCTCAGATTTCTACCTACTCCTCCCCAATGACAACTTCCTACCCATCTCCAGCCACCACCACTTTCCCATCTCCAGCACCTACATCATATCCCTCCCCAGTGTCCTCTTCCTATCCATCTCCAGCACACAGCACTTTCCCTTCCCCCTCTGTAGCAACTACATATCCTTCTGTTACAGCCACCTTTCAGGCCCAAGTGTCTACCACTTTCCCTTCTCAAGCCATCACCAATTCTTTCAGCTCACAAGGGACTTCAGCACTTTCAGAAATGTCAACTTTTTCTCCAAGGACAATTGAAATTTGTTGAGACTGTAAAGCTAGAAATGTTCAAATAGGTGATTGGTACTATCAGACTGCACTGAGTCTGTCAGTTACTGAAGAACATCATAGGTAGCAAGGCCATCCTAACTTTTCTTTAAATTTCAACTGCCTGAAACAAATGCCATTTAAGTTCTCAACTTCTGTCAAAAGACTTAATTTGCATGGACAGTAGATATAATTTCCCCATAAACATATTTTTTTTAAATTGAACTTTTATTAAATGCATAGACAATGTAAAATGTACATGTGCTATGGAATGGTTTTGCTTTCTTTGGGTACTATAGATGTGAAAATTATTTGCGTACTCATGTTGTATTATTTGAAACAGGCCCATATTTTGTAAATGGTGATTCTATTTTAGTGACTATGCTATAATGAGTTTTAAAGTTTGAGAACAACACTTACTACGTATTCAAGCATGTAAGAGTGATGTTATGTAAATATCAACCAATGAGACACTCATATGGCAAAAGTTTTTAAAGTTACATGTTTTGGTGCCTTTTTGTGAAGCCTTGCTGATGTCATGCACTTGTGTGAATAGATGCTTTGCATCTAGCCTTAAGGTGAAAGGGATTTTATTCAAGGAATGTAAGGGAAACAGACTGGGGGTGGGGGGTGGAGAGGACTTAGAAGGCGCTAGAGGACAGAATGTAAACAGTGCAAAAACAAACCCCTCTTAAAGTCTATTTTTGTTACTGAAATGTAAATTTATATATATATTCAGAAGTTGGAATGTTGTAGTTTACCTACTGAGTAGGCAGCAATTTTATATGTTATGAACATGCAGTTCATTATTTTGTGGTTTATTTTTATTTTGTAACTGTGTGTTGAAACAAAAGTGACTGGTTTAGCTTAAACACATTGAATGCGCTTTACTGCCAATGGGATATTTGGTGTACAATACCTTTTGGAAAAAGTAAATAAAATATCAAAACAATGTACTACCCACTACTTGTCAAATATCTACAGAAGCTTTAAGCCTGGCTGTTCTCTTGGTTGGATCATTTGGGTAATTGTTCTCTTTTTTCCTCTCCCCCCCCCCCTCCCCCCGCTAAATATTGAAGACTCTTCAGTGAAATAAGTGGAAAAACAAGCATCTTGCTTGGATTTATAGCTAGCAGTGAATGGGGCAGGTGTATAGAACACAAGTGAAAAGAGGGAACTCATAAAGAATCTGGGAAGATGAGAAATATAGAAAGGTAATAAAATATATCTAGCATGGGGAAATAGACCGTGACTACAGGTGGAGGTGGATTATAAGTTAAATCAGAGTCAACTGATAGTAGCAAGGTGTTTGAACCATGATACATCATAAATGCTGGTTTTTCAGAAGGCAGAACCCATTCCTCTCTGGGTTTTGATGAAAGTAAACCTAGAGCATTCCATGCTGAATGCCTCAATACAGAAAAATATTTTTTAGGTATTCTGGTCACAAAGTCTCTTCTAAAGCCTCTCTGATTGCCTACTCCTTTTCAAGAGTTGTCCTTCCAGGCTTCTCTGACAAACAAAACTGAGACCTGTGAGGCAGCTGGAGTGTGGTCTGCTGTATTGATAGGTAAGGGAGGTGGTGTTGGGAATGCCTGGATAGGTAAGGGAGGTGGTGTTGGGAATGCAGTAAGGATGAAGGGAGGATGGTGTTTACCTCCTCTTTTCCCTGGTATTCAGAATTATTGATGCTATAAAGTGGATATTTCTTTGAAAAGCTCCCCATCTGAACACTTGCTTTATATAAAGCAATTCCTCTGTTTGGAGGTGTAAAGCTAAAAGGCCTAGAAAATTTGTCACTCAGCATGACAGCAAATGTCATGGCTGCAAAAGGGCTTGACTGAATGCTGTCTATATTTGCTGTCCAGAATAGCTAAATAAAAAGTTTGGAATCTTATCCCATCCTAAATGTAGGCGAGGAAAATCCTGTTCTTGCAACGATGCTGGAAAAGATTGTCTGGAGAGGCATTGGCGGGCCCCTGGTTAAAAATAAAATCTTTATTGCCAGAGGTGAAGTGTCATGGCTGCAAAAGGGCTTGACTGAATGCTGTCTATATTTGCTGTCCAGAATAGCTAAATAAAAAGTTTGGAATCTTATCCCATCCTAAATGTAGGCGAGGAAAATCCTGTTCTTGCAACGATGCTGGAAAAGATTGTCTGGAGAGGCATTGGCGGGCCCCTGGTTAAAAATAAAATCTTTATTGCCAGAGGTGAAGGAGATAGAAGGTGCCAAAGTCAGCGCAGGCCGGAGTTAGGGTCGGCTCATCAGACGCCGCCCCTGTCCTGCCACGCGGGCACCTCAGGGCCCCAGTCC